CATTGAAGAGTTTAAACAGTAGTGGCAGTAGTTCCTCTCTAAATGTCTTGTAGAATTCAGCAGTGAAGCCATCAGGACCCGGGCTTTTCTTAGTTGGCAAGTTTTTAATTACGTTTTCAATTTCATTGATTGATATCTGGTCATTTAGAATTTTTAGGTCTTCTTTCTTCAACTTTGGTAATTCTTACGTATCTAGGAATCTGTCCATTTCTTCTGTGTTTTCCACCTTATTGGCGTTATAGGTTCTGGAAGTAGGTATCGATGATCCTCTGGATTTCTGCTGGGTCTGTTGTAATTTCACCCTTTTCAAGGAATTAGTATGGATTTTGAGAGGAGTATATTGGTTTTTTATATTTGTTTAGTTTTAGGGAGGTTCTTTTTTTGACAGTGCTGGGGATTGAACCCAGGGCCTTGGCACTGAGCTACATCCTCAGGCCTTCTTTTATTATTTATTTTGAGATAGGGTCTCACTGACTGCTAAGTTGCTCAGGCTGGAAGTGGTAGGATTACAGGCATGTGCCACCAGGTCCAGCTGTATTTTTGTAATTTTGAATGGAGAGAGCTTTATCTTTAGAGATGAAAGATGACATACTGATGATGATGATGATGATGATTATCTGATATTTGCTTCAAAATATTCTGATCAAGAGAAGTTAGGTACAGTCCAGAGAGCTAGGGAGAGAGGCATAATGGGAAGAAGGTGTCAGGAATTGTTGGGGCTCAGTGATATGATGTACTTTGTATATGTTTGAAATTCCTGATGTCAGAAAAATTGTAAAAACTCAACTAAATCTAAGATAGATAATGAAGGGCTAAATGAGATTGCTCAGTTTCCTGAATTTATTTTTTCTACACAGAATGAAATAAAACGATTATACGATCACCTCATTAAGAGTAAGACAGCCCTCCAACAGTCTTTGAATGAGATCAGCGGCCAGAGTATTGGTGGCCAGCTCCAGGTAATCCATCACAGTATTTCAGGTCAATGACATCTTGGATGCGTCCACTGTGCATCCGCTGGTGTATCTGAACCTCTTCCCTTTGAGAGCAGGGTGGGGCTTGAGTAAGTCAATGAAATGGAAACGATCACTACTGACCTTTAAAGACTTCTCTCAGGCACGTGTATGAAAACAGAAAGAGACCATTGTCACCCGTCAGCCTGGCAGGAAGTGAAGAGAGTAAAGGGAGGGTGTGAGAACGAGGCCCTCACCTTCTTGGTGGAGCACTACTTGTTCCAGCTCACGGGGATCATTTGCCTGTGCCTCAGAATCTGAAACACATTATTGCTCCAGAGCCATTGGACTTCATTTGACCAAATAGTAATTGAGCACCTACATGTGCAGTTACTATTCTGAGGGCTGGATTCGCACTATTCCTCAGGATATAAAATAAGGGCATAAAAATAAACATAATGCTTGAAGGATGGACCTCGTGGCACTGTGAATAGCCCAAAAGTCCGCTAAGAGCTGGCTGTTCCTAAAGCAGGGTGCATCCTTACAATACTGGGCTCGCTATTTCTCTGTGTAAGGGGCACTGGAGATTTGTATGCTGATGTGAAGAAACTCTGAAGAACTGGTAAGGGAGGTGTGCTGACCTCAGGACAAATGCTGAGGTGCACGGCAGTGCATGCAAGGATGTGCGTTTTAGCTCCACTGGCACCGTGTGTTCGCAGAATGTGTTAGGAACAGAGGGGGCGCTCTGGGCCTCTGGGGAGACGGACATGGAGAGCTGGAGGTGAAGGAGGGCCACACAGGACTTTTCTTTTCCCCTTAATTTCTCTCTTCTTTAACGGATGTACTTCTCTGATTTATTAAAGGCTTTTCCTGTTTTGTATTATCTCTCACTTAGAAAGCAGATGTGTACACAGCGGAGCTGCAAAACTCTGAGAACCGAGTGGCCAAACTAAGAGATGAAGGAGAGAGGCTTGGTTTGCCTCACGTGGTCCTGCAGGAGGTGCATAAGTTGGAGGTATGCCTGAGCAGAACATGCGCAGCACCAGCGTTGTAAGAGGGGAGGCTGTGTTCTTCCAAGAGAGTTTATAGCTCCTCTTCATTTGAATTATTTTCTTGGTTGGATAAAAATGCTTGCATACGCCTTTCCCTTTCAGGATGTACTTGACAGCATGTGGGGGATCCTCAGAGCTAGGTACTCAGAACTCAGCAGCCCCTTCACCTTGGAGACCCAGTTGGATGCCTTGCTGCAGGGCCTGGGGGAGCTGGTGAATATCGGCAAGGAGAAGCTTGCACAGGGCCACTTACGACAGGCCAAGAGTAAAGTTGCCTTACAGGCCCAGCTACAGAATCATAAGGTAAGGCTAACTCGTCAGACTCCCTTTTCAGGGACTAAAATCTCAAGACTTTTCTGAGTTTCAGTAGAAACAATCCATTTTGCGCCATTTCTTCTTGTATAAACATTTATTGGTATGTAGCAGGAAACTTGGGAACCTCTAGGAGTATGATTGTGAGGGAGAGCAGATCACCTCCTTACATTCGTGGAACTTTCAGTTGAGTGAGAAGACAGACAGTCATCAATGAGTATTCAAAAACATTTATAGCTGGGCTGGGAATTTAGCTCAGTGGTTCTGCCGCCTGCCTCGAAGGCACAAGGTCCTGAGTTCAATACCCAATACCAAAAAAAAAACATAGCTAAAATTCGGATTCCTTCTATGACAGCATTTAATAGGAGAAATTAATTTAGGACTGGGAAGGTCTTCTGAGAACTGGAATCATGAGGAAAATGTACTATTCTGTAGTATCACACTACAATAAATCCATTCATTTTCCACTCATTTCATTAAATCCTCTTGATCACCAACTAAAGATATGTAGTAACCTAAATGCTGATAATAGACTCTACCTTGAGAAAGCTCATAGACTAGCTCCTTTGGTAGGTAGACCTCAGTGTAAGAAAATTAAAAGGTAAATAATTGAATAAGAAGTAGGGGGAGGAGGGCCAGGGATTTAGCTCAGTGGTTTCACCGCCTACTGCGCAAGCACAAGGACCCGAGTTCGATCCCCGGTACCAAAAAAAAAAAAAGTAGAGGGAGGAGAAGAAAATAATATTGATCATCTGACTGTGTACCAGGCCCTTTGCTAGATTCTTTTACAGATCTTTCTGTGTATTTGTCCTGTGAAGAGTAGAAGATATTTATATGTTAAGAGGGTCTCTCCAAGCAACCAGAGGAGGGGCCGAGTTGTAAAGGGTGAGGAACTGTGTGAATAGAGCCTTCCTCTTAAAATGGTTGAAGTACAAATATGGCCCAGTTTACCGACCAGGATTGCTGTTACCCCCAATTAGCAAAGTCCCTATTTGGCCGCTTTGCTTAGCAGCAGTGAGAGGGAAGCTTTGGGGATTGGGTCTGCTGGATACGTAGCCTTCCTTGGTTTGCACCACTGAAGATTTACTCTCTCCATATTAATCAGCACCTTCTAGTAATGTATTAAAACTCAGAACAGGGTCAGGGATTTAGCTCAGTGGTTCCGCCGCCTGCCTCACAAGCGCAAGGTCCTGAGTTCAATCCCCGGTACCAAAAAAAACCCGCAGTAATTCAGAACAACTGGCTTAGAAAGATCTATCAGGACACCAAAGTCAACTCACAGTAACATTTGCTGCCTAGAAGATTGTTTTGTGGGAAATATTACTTAAGGATGATATTTCTTTATAATTTGTTAAAAGTCCATTCATTTTCAAAGACTTAGGAATTCATTTTGGTTTTCTTTTTATTTTCTTACACATATGAATGACTCTGTACTGCTATTCTGGGATTTTAGATTATAAAACAAAAACAGCTGGATAAAAAGTTAGAGTGATTTGATTATAACAATATTTTTAAATAATATTAAAAACTTCTTCCCTGTTATAGTTATTTTTCCAGAAGCTTGTTACCGACATGCTGTTGATCCAAACATACTCTGCCAAGATGTTTCCTTCTTTATTACAAAAGAGAGAGACATTTTGGGCAGAACAAGTAACAGACATTAAGTCACTAGAAGACAAGGCTCAGCAGTGTGGTACGAAGCTGCAGAGTTTGCTGCAGGTATGTGACTTATGTGACCTTTGTACTTAGCTGCAAATTACTAACACCTCCAGGTATCAAAAGCAACTGTCAGAGCGGGGATTTAGCTCAGTGCCACCATGCGTGCCTCTCAAGCGCAAGGTCCTGAGTTCCCGGTACCCAATCAATCAGTCAATCAATCAATAAAGCAACTGTCAGTTGTTAAGCCGGAGCTCAGCAAGGCCTTGACAAGGAGGAATGTAGAGCCTGGGTCTGGTGCTTCCTGCTGCCCCTTGAATGGAAAATTAGCTGGGATTTCTCATGGGAAATCTGGATGGCGTGGCATCTTTCCCCGTTTTGGTTTCATCTAAGAATTAACAGGACTGAAGGCACGTTGAGGCCATGAATGAGATCATTTGGCTAAAACAGTTATTGGTTCAGAAGCTGGACTCTAGTCCCAGGTATTCCATTGCTAAAATGGATTCATGATGTTCTTGTCTCAGTTCAAAGAAAAATTAAGCATGCATAAATTTCCTTTTCAGTTTTAAGGTTTCCACTTCTGACTTATTAAGGCTTTCATGGTCAATGTTAGCACATAAAGCAAATTTAAAGAAAAGAATGAAGTATTCAACTTGGTAATGTTAGAAGGAGTTATTTTATGCTAACATCATTTATTTTCTTGTTAGGGTGCCAAGTTGATATTTATGGTAATGTTTAATGGTACTTAAAAAAGACTTTGCAGGTCCTATGAAAGCCAGGTGACGTACTACTTGAATAGATACCAGAATTAGTGAAGTTGTTCCAAGGATAATTTCTGGTGTTGATAACTCAGTTGGGTGGTGTGCTGGGACCCTACCAGTGGGCTTCTATGGAGGTGGGGGAAGTAGGGCAAGGCAGGATGAAGGGTAAGGCAGTCATACTCCCACTCGGAACACTGCCACTTCAGTGGGATAGTGTTAGATAGGATTGGGATTGCAGTGGCGAGGATGCAGCCTCATGGGAGTTCAAGTTAGCTCTTTGCCTTTCCAAATAAGAGAAGGGCTCTGCCGAGGCTGTGAGGTCTCTACATGGTGTTGAGAGTATCACTTTAACTTTACTGCCTTACTCCCTTCGTTGTTTACCCAGCTTGACCATGCAAGCCTAAAACATGAAGGACCCCTGGATGTTTTTCAGACCTCACCCTCAAAAGCAATGGAACCATCCTCCATTAGATACTGAGCTCCTACTAAAGTGAGGGATATTGCTTAGGTCCACCTGAACTCTGTGCTTTAATTTTGTGTGGCCTTGGTGCTGGTTTTTGTTTTGATGATTCACTGTGATTGCCTGAAACCAATCTGAAAAAGGACTCCCACTGTGCTGTTGTTGATTCTCTAGAAATGGGAAGAATTTGATGAAAACTATGCATCCCTTGAAAAGGACCTGGAGATTCTTGTCTCTGCATTTCCTTCTGTGAGTTTGGTGGAAGAAACAGAAGAAAGAGTAGTGGAGAGGATTTCATTGTACCAGGTATTTTGCTTCCTGATCTAAATCATCAAAGGCATGGTCTAGCAGCACTTAGAATTTTGTTTTGACTGAGTTGCTTTATTATTTTTTTTTTGTACCGGGGATTGAACTCAGGACCTTGCACTTTCGAGGCAGGCAGCAGAACCACTGAGCTAAATCCCCGGCCCTGAGTTGCTTGATTTTGAAGCTGAATGATTTGAATTGGAATAAAGTATTGCAGGTTGTAGGGGGGAAGGGTTTAAGCAAGATGTGTCATACACATTGAAACCCCCCCAAAAGTGTGAAACTAGAGGGGACAGTGGAGGATTAGAAAGAATCAAAGTATGTTATTTGCATGCACAAATCTGTCAAACTGAAACCAATTCGTCTGTGTAATTAATTTTTTTTCTTCTTTCAGTACCAGGGTTTGAACTCAGGACCTTGAGCTTGCAAGGCGGGCACAGCACTACTGAGCTAAATCCCCTGCCCTGTGTAACTTTTTTTTTTTTTTTTTTGCTATCGGGGATCAAACTCCAGTCCTTGCACTTGCACAGCAGGCAGCAAAACCACTGAGCTAAATCCCCAGCCTGTGTAACTAATTTTTAAAAAGCAAAGAAAACAAGTGAAATGTTTATCACACTACTCAGTGGTAGGCACATTCAGGGAGATTACAGATTTGCATAAACCTGTGTCTGGCTTTGGTTGAAGACCTTGATTTGGCTCTGGCTCCTTACTAATCAGTTTTATGACCTTCCTGCATGCAGATAAGCCAGTTCCACCCTTCTCTGGAAGTGGACTTCAGTTCACCATTAGTATGGCAACAAGCTGTAAATGGAAAGAACTTCATAAACTGTTAGCCTCTTACTGCTTTACTGACGTCCTGAGTAGACATAGCCTATGAAACAGACAAAATCTGTTACCTGCTCCCAGCATCATAAAAGACTCTAAACTTTAAAACTCTTCTGTGTCACTTTTAATCTTGTTAATATCCAAGTTTTTGTGCCTCCAGTGTCAATGCCATAGAAATAAGACCTTAATATGGTTTTCAAGTGGCATTGAGAAGATGAGCAAGGTAAAAACAAATTTTAAATCTTCTCAACAGAAATTTAAAAGTAGTTAGTTTTCATTTTAGAATACTGTAGACACAATCAAAATCTGGGTTATAGGGTAGAGGTAGTTATCTTTGTTTTGTTTCGTTTTTTAAATCTTGAGACAGGGTCTCCCTCAGTTGTGCAGGCGACCCTTGAACTTGTGATCCTCCTGCCTCCACCTCCCAAGTAGCTGTGATTGTAGGCCTGAGTACCATACCTGGCCCCAACTACCAATTTTAAAACTTCAAAAACAGGTTTATTGCCTGAATAGAATGCATGGAAAAATGAAAGGCAGAATATATGGCAGGACCTTGGTATTCCTTGGGACATGTCAACCCCCTGTAAGGAACACTTGCCAGAGGCTGGAACCCTGCTTTATACTCTCTTGGTGCCCCAGAGACCTATACTAGGTAGATCCGAGCGTTCTAGGTGGGGAGAGGATGTTGGTCTAGGGATACAGAATGCAGTTGAAAACAGCACTTTAAGCCTCATTGTATTAAGAAACAATCTAATATTAGCTAACCTAATATGAACATATTTCCCTCACATCCCATAAAATATGGGTATGGCTCTATTAAATTTGAGTCTTTTTTAAAAGAATCATTTTTTTCTAAGACTTAAAAAAAAAAAGTACCATACTAAATTAAGAGAGATCAGGTCGGGGATTTAGCTCAGTGGTTCCGCCGCCTGCCTCCCAAGTGCAAGGTCCCGAGTTCGATCTCTGGTACCAAAAAAACAAAAAACTCTTCCTAGGGCCGGGGATTTAGCTCAGTGGTTCTGGCACCTGCCTCGAAAGTGCAGGGATCCAAGTTCGATCTCTGTACCAAAAAAAATTAAGAGACATCCCACAAAGCCCTCGTCACAAGGCCATTCTGTGGAGAGGTTGGTGTGTGTGAGTGGCGTGGTCACCCTCACCAGTGGACACCTGTGTCTTAGCCGTGTGCCGGAGCTGCTGGCCACCACTTGGCGTGGGACCCGCACAGTCAGTCCCCCATTTGTAAAAGGGAGGAATTAATCTTCTCACAGACATTCTAAAGATGAAGTGGTTTAGAAAGCCTTGATCTAAATGTAAGGCTGGGAAGACCAGAACTTTTCTTTTTTTAAATTGATCTTAAACACTTTTGTCCCAGCGTTTAGTATGTTCAGGCAAGAGAGAAGAGAACAAACAAGAGTGGTTAAAGGGAGCTGGGATTTTTGGTAATTTGTGAAAAGGTTTAAGTTCTTTGGAAGACAGCAGAAGTTCTATTTTGTTAATTTATTTTTAAAGATGAAACAGCAGTCAGGATAAGTGGCCATAGTCGCACCCAGCTGTGGAAGATAATCGCCTTCAGACAGAGGGCGCTGGGGCGGGGGGTCGTGTGTTTTCAATTTTGAAGAAGTTTATTCTCTTCATAAAGTGGGTTTAGTAATACGCTGTGTGTTTTAATTTATTCCTTTAAAGTTCTCTTCCTTTCTCCTTACCGAATCCTTACATTCAGAAGACTTAGGACATGATTATTTTCCCTTAGAATTTTCATCTTGCAGATACTGGAAAACCCCTTTCCTGTTCATCTCCTTCATGTCTAGGCTGCAGTGTCCTTGGGGACCAGGAGAGCAGGAATGAGGAATGCTGGTGGGGTCTGCAGTGAGGGAGGACTGGGGAAGGCAGGCTGAGAGCACAGGCCCCTCAGGAGCAGGCCTGTGACTGCTGGGTCCAGTGGGCTGCCACCTGGGGACGCTCCATCTTCCAAGCAGTTTTCTGGAGGCACTGGAAATCCTGATTTTCTGTATGATTTTCAAAATAATATTTAGGTCAAACAAAACCTGTCTGAAAGCCAAGCAGGGTAACATGTGCCTATAGTTCCAGCTACTCGGGAGACAAGAGACCCCCTTGAGTGCGGGTATTGAAGGCCAGTGTGGGCAGTGCTGCAGGAGCTCATCTGAAAGGAAGGAGAGAGGGAAAGAGAGAATGATCAAGCCTACCAGCTTAGGGTTTTTTTGTTCGTTTGTTTTGTTTTGTTTTTTTAGATGATAGAATTAATTATTAGATCTAAATCTGCATATTTGAGCTGAGGATGTAGCCCAGTGGTAGAATGCTCACCTAGCGTGCACAAGGCCCTAGGTTCAATCCCAGCATTGGAGGAAAAAAAAGGAAACACAAAAAAAGTGGGAAAAAAAGTGAATCTGTGGATTTTGGTTCCTTGTGCACATGCGGCAAGTCTGTGGAGTTGGGTCTGTTCTGTAGAAATGCGTTCGCCAGACCCTCTTGTGAAAGGTGATCAGTAAACTGTCAATCATGTCTCTCCAGTGAGTCTACAGTCTTGGAAAGGGGGAAAGTATCAGTATTTCTTCCATAGCCTGTAATGTATGTTTTTTATTTTCCTTAAATTCTTTTATTGGTACATTTTTGTTATACAATACATTTACATTTATCATTGGGTGCTTGTACCTGTACATGATGTATCTTGGTTCTTATTTTTTTCCCCATTACCTGTGCACCCTTCACCCCCACCATCCTTCCCTATTTACATAGACTTCGTTCATTTTTTTTCTTTTCTCATAATTTTTCCTTTCTCTCCTTTCCTTTCCCCATCTCCTCCCACCACCCCTACCCCTTTGGACCTTTTCTTCCTATTTCAAATTATCAATTATTTGTTTTAATCATTTTAATCCTTATTTACACTTTCTGTTTCTCACACTAGAGAAACTATTTAGTATTTACACGTGTGTCCTATTTATTTCACTTATGAGTATGGCCACAATATGCGTCCATTTAGCTATAAATGTCTGTAGCTTCTCGTTCTTTATGGCTGAGTAGTACTCCATTTTACAAAAAAAAACCACATCTTCTTTATCCAGTTTCCAGTTGATGGGCACTTGGGCTGTTTCCAAACTTAGCTATTACGAACTGTGCTGCTATAAACATGGGTGCACATATATCCCTGTGGTATGATTCCTTTAATTCTTTTGAGAAGATCCCCAGCAGGGGAATAGCTGGGTCAAATGGTGTAACGTATGTTTTTAAAGCACGTACTTGTGAATAGATTGGCAGATTTTATTCTCTTTTAAATAACTCACCCCGTGGCTCTTACTAGCAAATAAAAAGGAACATTGAAGGAAAGCATGCCCGGCTGTACCAAACCCTGAGTGAAGGCAGACAGCTGGCGGTGTGTGTGAGCTGTCCAGAGCTGGAGGGCCAGATTGCCCGGCTAGAGGAGCAAGGGCTGGCACTGAACAAGAAGTCTGACCACGAGCTCCACCGGCTGCAAACGCTGCTCAAGCATCTGCTCAGGTATAGTGCCTGAGGATGGACTAGCTTGCATTTTGCTGTGGAGAAGACCTCAAAGGAATTCTGTAGTCACCTAAATTTTACATGCAGTCTACAGGTTTCTTGTGTTCTCATCAACAATCTAAAGCTGTTGCATCTCCTTCTGGGTCAAATGGGATCCAATATTGGGCTCTGCTACTGGTTTGCTAGACCCAGAATAATATAGAGTAAATTTGCTAGAAATATTTACATATTTCTACAAAAAGCTAGGAGTTGTGCTAGAGATTTAGCTCAGTGGTTCCACTGCCTGCCTCGCAAGCACAAGGACCGGAGTTTGATCCCTGGTACCAAAAAAAAAAAAAAAAAAACAGTGTAACAACTAGGAGTTGTATTTGAAATAACTTACAAGTTACCTTTATACTGGGATATTGCAGTTTTCCTACCCTCTTCCTAAAGTTTCAAAATTTGAACAAAATTAAATGATTTGAACCAACAGAATCATTTGAGAAAGTCTTTTGAATTCTTCAGAGGGTTTGTTTTGCTCAGTTGGTGTAACACTGAACCATTGGAAGATGGTAGAAAAACAGATGTTTAAGCCCTCTTCTCATCTTGGAAGGCTAGCTGCCTAAAGTTATAACCTGACGTTATGAAAGGGCAGCACTGTGTTTGGATATTTTCATCAGATAAATGTCACTGTTTTTTGAATAATAAGGCTAGTCAACACAAGAAAATATACATCAAAGTAAGAAGAAAATATGCTAGTGGTGTATGTCACCAGAGGACAATTGTAATCTTCCTCTCTCCTGCTTTGCCCCTATTAGTTATAACAGGGATTCGGATGAGTTAACCAAGTGGTTGGAATCTTCTCAGCAAACTCTGAATTACTGGAAAGAACAGTCCCTCAATGTGTCTCAGGACTTGGATACCATCAGAAGCAACATAAAGAAATTTTTTGTAAGTTACAATAGGATATGTTTAGATCAAGGTCAGTCAGCGAGAAGGCTGCCTGAGAATCTCCGTCCCCTTTGCTCTCCAGTGTGTAACTCATGTCTGGAGTAGTACCTGACAGGAGAGAAACTGTGGGAGGGAGGGAATGTATTCATTTACTATGTTCAGGTTTGCCTTCTAACCAGTTGTTCTGACTGTATTTAAATTTCAAACGTTTGAAATCTTTTAAACCATTTCCTTTAGGAATTTTCAAAGGAAGTTGATGAAAAGTCCTCCCTGAAGACTGCAGTTGTGAGTACTGGGAACCAACTTCTTCACCTCAAAGAAGCAGACACCGCGACGCTTCGTGCTTCTTTAGCCCAGTTTGAACAAAAATGGACACTACTCATCACACAGCTTCCAGATATTCAGGAAAAGCTTCACCAGGTAAGTGTTGAAAGACCCCGCATTTGATTAGCATTCACTTAGTAGCTCACAACTCTTTTAAAATTATTTTTCTGACTCAATAATTTTCATTGACACCACCTATCTTTCCCTGGCACCACTGAATACAGGTCTTAATTACTGGACTCTCTTCCAATGAGATCTTTCTTAAGAGAGAAATCAGGCTTAATTACTTTATTTCTCAGTTTATCTGTGCCACTGTCTCAGTTTATATGAAGGTCTTTATCATTGTTTTGGGGTCATTTATTCTAAGCTTGTATTCTGGGTTTGTTTTTCGTGGGTAACCTGCATAATTATGTAGCAGGACCTCTTATCAAACCAGATATCATCTTTCTCGATGCCCTGATTCATTTTTGTTAACTGCAGGTAATTAAATGAAAATCATTTTGTCCTTGCAGCTTCAGATGGAGAAATTGCCATCTCGTAACGCAATCACAGAAATGATTAGCTGGATGAACAGTGTGGAACATCAAATGGCAGATGAAGAATCTGTGCACTCTCCAAGTTCTGCATCTCAAGTGAAAGGACTTCTTCAGAAGCTCAAGGTAAATGCTAGGAGCTGAGGTCTTTTTATTAAACAAGAAGGCAGATCACAATGAGGAGGGGAAATGCTGAACCAAGAGACATGTGGGATATAATTCAGAAAATCTAATTCTGAGGGTAGGACATGGAGTGGGGGATGATTCTGGAGACATGAACTAGTTGACTTGGTTTTATTCCACTTACACCCCTTTAGTAGCACCCACCACCATGGGACAGTACAAGCTTTTCGTGAACCCAGGGCCCCCTGTCTCCCCAACCTCATCTCTTCATACCCCCATGTAAACTCCGTGCAGGCGAGATGGCTGTGGGTCCCCCTCCCACATTGAGAGCTCTTCCTCCTCGTGCTCCCATGCAGGCTGCAGTGCCACTGCTACTGGCAGCTGTAGAAGTCCTCCTTGGTGTTCGTCAAGCTTCACCTCAAGTCCTCCTCACTAACAAATCCACCCTGGTTTTTCCAGTAGGCTTAGCTGACTGCTCGACTAGATGTCTCCATGATGCCGTTGCTAGTTTCTGTCACCCAGTATAGTAATCATTTGTTTGCTCAGCTGTCTCTCCACCTTGACAGCTTTTTTTTTTTTTTTTTTTGGTACCGGGGATGGAACTCGGGTCCTTGAGCTTGCCCAGCAGGCGGCGAAACCACTGAGCTAAATCCCCGGCCCTTGACAGCTCTTTGATAGTAGGCGCTGTCCTTCACCTCCCCCCAAATAGCCCAGTGTCTCACCACAGCAAATGTTAATAAATGTTCTTTCAGGATAAGGAAGAAAAGCTCATGTCCTTCTACAAATAGTATGACTGTAGCCTCCTCCATGATTTTTAATTTCAAGTCGTTTTAATTAATATTGAACAAGGAACACGCAACCATTTATTGTATGCTGGGCAGTGTGTTGGCCACTGGGAATACAGAGCTGAACGAAGAACCCAGCCATTTGCTGTCAAACACCTGAAGGCTGATGGAGCTAATCTCTGACAGGCAGAAGATGAATGGCTTATTCACCAAGTATGATAGTAGAGGAAGGTATTTTTATATACCATCACTGCCTAGTCTTTAAAAAGGATACCCCAGCTCCAGTAACCTAGCATGTACCATGTAGTTCCCCTGAAAGTCTCCATAGAAGGTTCCAGAACTTTCCTGGATAAAGCCCAAAAGGTGACAGGCTTCATAGCCCTGGGTGGGCTTAGATGGCTGTAGAGTTCCACACCATTCAGACTGCCTGGAGAGGCCTAGACTCTTCCCCATCAGAAGCTGCCTAAATTGACAGACGTCCTCAAAGTGTCCTGGCTTTCCTGGAAAATCTTCTTTTTCCTATACTGTGGTCCCCATAAGTCTCAGGATGCCCCAGAATCCAGCTTTGCTCTCAGGCAGCCTCTCACAGGAACCATCTGTCAGAACCAGCACTCTGATGTCCTCAGCTGACAGCAGCCACATATACAGGGGTCCCTTGGACTTTCCACTCTGTCTCAAAACAGCCTGTCTCTGTGTTCCCAGGAATGTGTCATTCACAAAAAGAATCTCAGTCCCATAAAGCAGCCTCTTGATGGGTTTGGAGGGGATGGAAGGTAACTCAAGTGTCCCCAGGGTTAATGGATGGGAGTGGGGCACCCCCTAGAGGACAACTAAGGGAGAACTGTTCAGGCTTTGGGTGTTTAATTTTGCTTGTTTGTGTGTTCTAGGAGTTTAGAATGGAATTGGACTATAAACAATGGATAGTTGACTTTGTTAACCAGTCACTACTTCAGTTAAGCACCTGTGATGTAGAAAGCAAGCGCTATGAAAGGACGGAGTTTGCAGAGCACCTGGGGGAGATGAACTGCCAATGGCACCGAGTACACGGAACCCTGAATCGAAAGGTGGGCTCAGGGCCATAGTTGCATGGTTTGGACCTTGCAAAATACCACTTTCCAAGAAGATGTTCAGATAGTTGATTCACAATCATAGCTCTTTTATAAATCCTGTGTTTCAGCGTCTTCCACAGGCACATACAACAGAGTATGACAATAATTCTTCTACGTCTGTTGAGATTTCTTAGTGGGAAATTGATTTAGACAAGTGAAGAAAAGACATTGTATTTAAGAATATGTTGAGTTTCATCTCAGGCTACTGAAAGTACAGAGCTTTTGACATTTTCTGTGAGAGCACATGTTCAAAAAGGGGCAAAGCTATTTCGGCTTTGAAGTGATTGTGAAAAGGAAGGAAAGCGCATATGACTTCGGTAGCTTTTTCACTTCATGATCCTCAGAAAAGATGAAAAAAATTATTACTGAAAGATATTTACATATTATTTATATTGGTAGTAACAAATTATTGATCTCTGTGTAAAGAATGCGTACAAATAGATTTGCGCAATCAAGATTCAAGTACATAGATGGACAAATAACAAGAGCAGACAGCCCAAATAGCTCAGTTATCATGTTGCTCATATTGTAGTAGTTTGAATACTCCTTTGGAAAGCACTGGGAAAATGTAAACCATGCAGATCATCTTATCCCCACCCCACAATCCAACTGTTAGGTATTTATTTTAAAACAACCCTTCCAAAATGAAAAGGTATACATAAAGTGTTCAATGTTGTTTATACTTACAAAAATGTACACTAGCTTAATTTCTAACTTTAAGGGAATAACTAATCAAATGATACTATGTCTAGCTGCATGTGGTGGTCCATACCTGTTATCCCAGCACTTGGGAGGCTGAGGCAGGAGGGTTGTCACAAGTTCAGGGCCAGCCTGGGCTACACAATGAGTTCAAGGCCAGCCTGAACTACATAGCAGGACCCTGTCTCAAAAAAACAAAGCAAAACCAAAAAATGATACTATGTTCATTTGATAAGCTATTGGGCAGTCTTTTAAAACTCATAACAGCATATGTGACAACAGTGCGTGCTTACAGCATATAAAAAACTTCATATATACTGTGACTATTACCTAATAAAAATTGTATTAGATGTGAGAAGAATCATGGAATTAAAAACTGATTATTACATTGATGAACAATTTGTGATATTGTTAGTACTGATGGAAAATTTTAAGCAACTCTAATGAAGAGAGTCAGGGGAAAGAAAATTTCTTTAAGCTGCACTTGTATTAATAGAGGATGTGGTGAAAACATTGAAGGTTAGCGACATCATTTTATTTTTGTAAAGCTATTATGAAATTCTAAAATAGCAGCTGTCTCAGCAGATTAGCTTTCACTTAAAATTTGAGTTTTTTTAAATGTTTTTTTAAAAAGAAGAATTATAAATCCTACTTGCTGACTTAATCTTGATTCTAAAATTACCAGTCTATTTATGCAAGATATTAAAAATTTGGAAAGAAGAAAACTTACCATTTTCAAAATACCCTATTATGCCATTTACATTTTTTAAGCATTGGGGTTTAAAGTAAGACTTTTTTTTGTCCTATTTTTATTTACCACTTACAGATACAACATTTAGAACAACTTTTGGAAAGCATCATTGAGCATGAAAACAAGATAAAAATTTTGAATAACTGGTTGGAGGCACAAGAAGAGAGACTGAAAACTTTACAAAAACCTGCCAGCGTGATCTCCATTGAAAAGCAGCTCCTGGACTGTCGGGTGAGGAGTAGACAGTGACCGTCACATACCACATGGTGCGGTTGGACTCCGAGGTCCCCATGCTTGCCCCGAGAAGAGGGATGGGTGCTAGAGTGTTTGGAGACTCCTTCACCCCACCCTACATGTATAGTTGTGTGTTGCTTAGTGACAGGATTGTGTCCTGAGAGAGGCATCCTTAGGCAATTGTGTCCCACAGAGAAGAATACTTTTGTACCACAGGGGATCCATACGCAACCCCAGGTGAGCCAACCACTGCACACCCGGGCTACATGGCACTGCTGTCTTGTGAAAGGTGTGACCGCACTTGATTCCTTAGAGAAACTAGCTCATTGTCCCTGGGTTTTACACAATTGCAAAGTGCTGTTTTATATCATAATGAGAAGGTATTTTCCTGGTCATTGCTTCTCTTAAGTGATACAAATATTAGTTACTCCCAAGGGAAAAAATATTCACAGAGAATTTTGATTTAGGTGCTTCCCAATTTTGGTGTTCTTTATGACTTTGCCCAATGCTGGCAAAATTTCTCTGAATTTTCCATTATTTTTGGTATTTCATTCTGTGTTTCACTGGAGGAATATAATTTTCTTCTGCTTGTTGGGTCTTACGTTTTAACGGACCTCTTGTCCCTTGGTCCAGTGTCCAAGGAGCATTTGGGTGTGTGAGTATGGTCTGTTTGCCAGGTCCCATGGCCCTGGAGACAGCCCCTCCCCTATGGCCTGGTCCTCCCGCAGCGCTGCCTGAGGGGCAACTCACTCCCATCCAGGTACCGTAGCTGTCACTGTCACCGAGGCTGCAGACATCACGTGCTGTGCTGCTTCCACACCTACTAATGAGCACAGACGCTTGTTGCTGTCGGGGCTGGGAAGTCATGTCAGACCCCAGTTCTGTTGAGATGCAGACAGGATAGCACCGGACATAAAATGAGAGCAACGCATGACCACTGTCTCAGGGCTTTCTGGTGGTCATGTCCCATCCTGGCTGCCCACTGCCCATCCCCACTTGGTGTTCTTAAGCCACCTGGTGGACAGCGTCCTTCCTTCATGGAAGCTTAAGTTCCTCTGCCGCTGGTGCCCATCCTCTCCAGAGGTAGCTTTCGAGCTTGCCTCTCTCTCCCCGCAGGAACTCGTTAGGTCTCCCAGTTGCTCCCGCTGTGTAGTTGGTCCACACTGGCACAGGCCTACCCGACGCCAGCAGCCTTTCATCTGCTTCCAGGACCTGACCTCTTTCCCTCGGATGCCTTCACACTGCCTCAGAGTGACACTTCTGAAATGCGGAAGGTCATTGAAAAATCCTTCACTGTCTGCACGTTGCCTGCAGAGTGAAGTTCAGATGTTTTAGAATGGCATTCTGGGCCCTCCTTGACCTCCCCTCCCCTACAGGTTGCAGACAGACCATTACAGCCTCTAAGCTAAGCATGTCTGTGCCATTCCCAGCCTTTTGCTTCGTCTTGATAAATGCTAGCTGTGGAATACGTTTGAGTCGGTTAAATCCCCCCCACCCCAGCAAGTTGTAATTAAGCAGATCCCAGAGCTGGTGTGGCTCATGGTGGAACATTTGCCTACCATGCACAAAACCCTGGGTTTGATTCCCCACTCTGGTAGGACCAAGGAAAGACAAAGGTCTGCCATCTGTGGAAACTTATTAGCAAACAACTAAGACAGTGAGTGTACTGTGAGATCAGCGAAGCCCAGCTCTCTCTGCTCTTTGGTCTACTGTCAGCAGTGCGCTGGTGCAAGGCAGATATATCGCTGCTCCAGAAGCAGTCTGTTATCTTTGTGGTCACATTAGGCAACTAGAATTTTTGGAGGTTAGACTGGATATGAAATTACACAGGGAGCCAGGCATAGTGGTGCCTGCTTGTAATGCTAGCACCCTGGAAGGCCGAGGCAGGAGGATGACAAGTTTAAGGCCGATCTGGGTAATTCAGTGTCTTAGTGAGACCCTGTCTCAAAATAAAACAAATGAATAAATAAAAAGGGCTGGAATGTAGCTCAGTGCAAAGGCCCTGGATTCAATCTTCGGTTCCAGAAAAAAACCAAAACACAGAGCAAGGTAAAGCGGCTGTACTCTAGTGATGGAAGGATTGGAGTTTATGAAGCACTAAGTCAGGACTGAAACATTCTGTGGGAAGAGGCCAAGTTTTACACATCCTAATTATCCAGGAAAACTGTAGTTCACTAGAATGGTGAGGTTTGAGATGACATTATTAATCTCTCAAGTCTACGGGCTGGGGATTTAGCTCAGTGGTTCTGGCGCCTGCCCCACAAGCACAAGGTTCTGAGTTCGATCCCCAGTACATAAAATAAAAATAAAATTTAAAAAAATTTTTTTGAAAGTCTAATACTGCTATGCTGTAAGCAACCAGAGCTGACAGAAGTTCATTCACAGTCATTCAGAGGAATTTAGATGTTTTTGAAACGTTTAACACATTTCCTCACAGAAGAGATGAAAGTGAGGGAGGACTTTGAAATTCTAGTGGATCTTTATAATTAGCAAAGGATTTCTATATTCCACCCTATTTTATGTCTAGAACATAAACTGAGATTTAAGGTAAGATGAATTACTTTACTAGTGAGGTAGGAGTTGAGAAATTTTAAAAGCTGTAGCAGATCTGAGGAAGCAAGGTCCAGCTGCAGGACCACTGGGTTATACCCATGTTATTCTGAGGAGAAAAACACAGAAGAATTTTTTCCTTGCATGTATGTTTTCATGGGCTATTACTACCGTGGTTATTCTTTACACTTTTTTTGCAGTTTTATGTGTATGTTATTTTCCTCTAACTCTACTAAATAGGCTTTTTTCCACCAGTTGTCATGTTATAGAGCAGTGATGGCGAACCTTTTAGAGATTTCAGTGATACAAACAGCCCGGTGTGACACACATGCCATAGGTTCACCACCACTGATATACAGGAAATATGACAACTTATTGTCATAGAAGTGTTTTTAAAAATCCTTAGTTAAGGGGCGAGGATTTAGCTCAGTGGTTCTGGTGCCTGCCTCAAAAGCGCAAGGTCCAGAGTTCAATCCCCTCCATACCAAAAAAACAAAACAAAACAAACAAACAAAAATCCTTAGTTAAGCCTTCATGGAAGACTATTTTATGAACTCAAAGGAAGGGAATGATTCCTTATTGTTAGAGTGTTTTAGGCTATAACTTTGCAAAGGAAAAAGTGAGCTTCAGATTGGTGATAAAGGACAGTGGGCGAGGCTGTCAGATATGATTGACACAAGGAACAGAAGTGCTTGCTAGCAGGGGCTGCTGCAGAGCAGTTCGCTTGCTGGGTGCTTTTACAACCCAGCTATGACAAGAAAACCACAGAAACCTGCTGCATGTGAGCTCCCTAGATGTACACCATGTGGGGCTGCTGTCATGGTGAGAGGTTTTCCAGTAATGCTCACATGGCCCTGCCCTTCGAGGGAAGAGGGCACACGGTGGTAGGTTCCTCCCTCTCCATCGCTGGCCGCCCAGTCCTGCTCCCAACTGTAGTCCTCGGTTTCTTAAGGAACTTGTTTCTTTCCCTCTTGTTTCCACTCTTCAGTCCAGGACATCCCTGATGTTCATTGATTTAAAGTCTGACTTCTGTATTTCAAGAGTCCCCTCTGGGATGTGATGGTTTTGCAGGCATGGATGTCGGTGCCACACTGTGAGGTAAATGCAGGCACAGACGTGGCCGCCTGCCCAGTGAGCCGCACCTTCTTCTTTCCTTGTGGAAAGGCAACCGCCTTTTTTCCTCGTGGACCCCTAGTGATTCTTCTGATGGATTATGTGTTTTAGAAAGCTGAATTTTTTTGGGGGGGGGGGTACCGGGGATTGAACTCGGGACCTTGCGCTTGTGAGGCAGGCGGCAGAACCACTGAGCTAAATCCCTGGCTGTGAATTTCCTGTTAAAAAAAAAAAAAAAAAAAGTCTTCAAGGGAGAAAGATGCAGGAGACCACAATTCACACACTGTGCGTGCTAAAGGAAGTGAGCATAAATATTCTGTCGCATGCTGATAGTTCTTGAACAGTTTTTTTTTTAAAGACTAGATGTGTAGCTGAGCGGCACCATGCATGTTCAGTATGCACAAGGCCTTGGGTTCGATCTCCAGCATGACAAAAAAAAAAAAAA